TTACATATCTATTCTAAATAGTCGATATATCTTGTCTCCACTTCCTCACTCCCATTTGCCACTAAACCACTAAATCCCCGCTCTTGTTCTCCTACTGAAGCAACCTTTTAAGTGACAATCAGCAGTTTCATGATTAGTAATCTAACTATCCCCAGGCTAAGCAGACAGCGTGACCATCTCAGCTTCAATTTCCTTCTCTGCAAAATAAGTACAAAACAACACTTTATTGGGTTGGCACCAGCATTAAATAAACTAATGCAAAATGATTATATAACAGAGAGTATAGAACATTCTGGATGTATTTCTTAGCTAAATTTAATTTTAAAAAAGACAATAAAACCATTAAATCTTATTTCATCAAACTGATCAAGAACTAGTCCCAAATCTTCAGTGCAAGTCCTTTTTAAACACATATTGAGGTTAGCACATAGGAAGTCTCCAAAGGGCTGGGGAGATGGCCCAGTGGGGAAAGAGCTCTCTGTGTAAGATTGGAGACCAGAGTTCAGATCCCCAACACTCATGGAATGACGGGGTGTGGCAGTGCACATCTGACCCCAGGGCTGGGGGTATGTCAGAGGCAGACATATTTTAGGAGCCTGCTGGCAAACCAGACTAGCCAAAATGGCAGGCAGCTGGTTTACTGAGAGACCATGCCTCAAAAAAGAAAGTATAAAAACAATAAAAACAGGCATCCTGTTGCTGGCCTCTGGCCTCCACATATGCACACACAAGTGTACCCTTGCACACACATACACAGTGCATAGCTCCTCTTGAGTGTGAGCAGGTCTGTGACTTGGTCTCTAAGTGATAGCTATGGCAATGCTGGTGGAGGCCACTGTTCTCACCATTACATGTGGCACAGAGCTAACTTGCTAGCAACGCTTCTCTCTGCAGGCCTGATGTGAAGTGTTGGGCTGGGAAGCCTGTGGCAGAGAACCTTGGCTGCTCTCCTGGGCTCGGAGAATGGCTTTCCAGCTAGGCTATTAAGAAGCTGGCACCTCTCCCCTCAGCCCTGCAACCCCAACGAAATGAAATCTGCCAACACACACCCAGAATGTTCTCTGTCCTCTGCTCTATTATCATCATTTTACATTAGTGCCTGTAACTCTAGCTCCAGGAGATCTGATGCTATCTTTTGGCCTGCACTCAGGTGTATGGGGGTGGAACATGCACACACAAAATAACAATAAAATAAAAATAAGTCTTTGAAACAAAATGTGGGAAAGGAAAGTATAAAGAAGAAAATGAAATATCTTCGTATGCCTCTCACACTCAAGTGTTGGTTATAGGCTTTCTCTGCCCAGGGCAGTTTTGCATGCTTACACATCCTAGCAGGCTGATGGAGTCACCAAGACTTTGAGAAGTCAGGGGCTTGTCGGGACTCACTTGCCTAGATCATAATCTCTCATTGTCTTGGAATTTGAGGAATCCTTTCAGACAGAACTTTGACAGTGCACTACAAGAGATTTTTTTTTTTTTTTTTTTTTTTTTTTTGGTTTTTCGAGACAGGGTTTCTCTGTAGCTTTGGTGCCCGTCCCGGAACTAGCTCTTATAGACCAGGCTGGCCCCTTCACTACAAGAGATTTTAAGATTTGAAATAATGTTACTGAGTCTGGAAAAGCCAAACACAATCACAATTACATTTTTAAAAAATGTCTCAGCAAGTCTAGAAAATTATTCTGCTACCCAGTTTGTTTGGTGGCCTTTACTATTTAAAAGAATGACTTGGCGCCAACATGACATTCTACCTGAGACTCTTGTAGCAAACTTCCTGGATTTTTCAGCAGCACCTCTGACTGTTGCATGACTTTTGTCGTATCATTTGCGCTTCTGCTGGCTATGACTGGTGCCTTACCCGATTCAGTGGTGTAAACACCGTGTGTGTGTGTGTGTGCTTGCGCGCGCGTGTGTGCATATGTGTTAGTGTATGCCTGGTGTACTGGCTTGTATGAGAACACCCCGCATATGCTCAGATGTTTGAACATTTGGTATCCAGCAGGTGGCGCTGTTTGGAGAGATTTAGGAAGTGCAGTTTTCTTGTTGGAGGAAGCCACCGGAAGCTAGTTTTGAGAGTTTAAGGTCTCTTGTCACTTCCAGTTTGCCCCCTCTCTCTGCTTCAGGCTTGCAGTTGAAGATGTGCCCTCTCTGCTTGCTGCTTTTGCTGCCATGACTCCCCATCATGATGGATTCTTACTTCTCTGGAACTGTAAACCCAGTTAAACGCATCCTTTTATGGGTTGCCTTGGCCATGATGTAAATTGAAGCTGGGAGAGGCAGCCTGGACAGTCAGATGTACTAACAGTGGTCATGGTAGCATTTTATCATGCTCACAGAAAAGTAACTACATATGGGAAAAGATGAGTGACACATGTTTGTGTGTGTGTGTGTGTGTGTGTGTGTGTGTGTGTGTGTGGTAAGTGGGGTAAGGACACATCCATACAACTAACTAAAGGCCAGGCAGACACAGAACTAACTTGTTCTATGTATGAACTTCAGCATCAGTTTGCCTGTCTTTGAAAGGCATCTCCTTCAATGTTGTTGGGCAGAGGAAACAAATATTTTCCCTATGACCATTCCAGAACATTCTCTTCTATCCATTGGGGCTTCTGAATATAAAAAGGTCACTCAGCTGGGCATGGTGGCACACACTTTCAATCCCAGCACTCGGGAGCAAAGGCAGGCCATCTCTGTAGTTTGAGGTCATTGGGTTTGTGTGGTGAGTTCCATTCCAGCCAGGGCTACAGCATGATATCCTGTTTCAAAGACCAATCAGTGCAAAGGTGGATAGGCCCAATCGAGGACCTGCGGTGCTGAGAGAATCAAGCACCAGGAATGAAGAGGCACTGGAAGTCAGGAGAAAAGGTGCTAATTAGAGGCATGCCCAGGTTTAGGTAATCTCACTTTTGAGAGTTTATGGAGAGGAGCCTGACGGGCAGTTTTCATGTCTTGGAGTGCCTTAGACATTGGGAACAGAACTCTGAATAGGCCTGTCTCTGTTCATAGGAAGCAGGAAGAGCCTGGTCTGACTCTCAAAGGAGACTACGTTTAACTGTAGCAGATGTAAGTAATCAAGCTTCCAAAGCTCTCAGCTGTTGGAGACTCCGACCTGAGAGGGAAAGCTGACTTACTGGGAGGGCAGCCAACACAGACGATGAGGATGTTGGGAGAGGAGAGCCATGGAACAGTGCCATCTAGACCCCATCTTGGGAGCCTGAAGACTCAAGGGACCCAGCCCAGGACTGTGAAGGCCACGTTGGGCACTGGTATAGAATACACCATCTTCCCAGAGAGCTGACTACATTGTGCTGAGTTGAGCTAGGTCCCACAGTGCTGAACTAGAGGATTCTTAAGATGCTGGAGAGCATTAAGAGTCAAAGTTACAACCAAGTGTAACACTGCAGGCTGCAGTCCTGGCACACAGGAACCAGAGGCAGGGGAATAGCAAGTTTGAGGCCAATCGAAGCTATATAGTGAGACTCCTAACTAAAGATAAAAGCTGTCAAGTCTCTTCTTCAATGAAAGACGGACTTGTCTAAAATTTATTTTCTCTGGTTTCTTGGTGGTGGGGATGGGATAGTGGTGTTAGGTAGGGGAGTAGGTGTGGGATGAGTTAGGGGTGTGGAAGTGAGTGGGTAGAGCAATCTTCTGGATGATAGCACCCGATCACTGGGACACACACTTTAACTGTGTTTTGAGTGTTAGCCTAAATGTATGTCTGTGCACCACATGTCTTATGCCCATGAGGTTTAGCAAAGGGAACTGAAGTTATAGATGCCTGTGCTCTGCTGGGAAACAAATCCAGGTTCTTTGCAATTACAATAAATACTCTGAACCACTGAGACATATTCCCAACCTTTTTTAAAAAACATAAAATGGATTTGTTTAGTGGGGTCACTCTTTATTACTTGGAGGCACTGGATTTATTTTAAATGTTTATTGTGGAGGCACAAGAGATGGCTCAGCGATTAAAAACAGTGCTCTTGCAGAGGACTGGATTGGGTTTCCAGAACCCACGTTAAGCAGCTCATGCTGCCCGTAACTCCACCTCCAGGGCATCCAAGGCCCTCTGGCCTCTGAGGATACCTGTATGTACCTGGTGCACATAAACATACACACATATACACAATAAGTAAAATATTAACTGTGCACCTGTTGTGTGTCAGGTACTGTGGGCGCAGCGGCTGAGGGAGCAGTCGTGGACAAAGTGACATAAATCTATAAGGAGCACAGAGAATAGCAAAATGAGTAGCTACAATAGCACCTTGTCAGCAAAGTGCAGCCGGGAAGGGGTAAGGAGGACTGTGGGCCACATTGCAGTTTTAGCAGAGTGGCCAGGAAGGTCACAACTGAGGTGACATTTACCTTTAGGGACAGTATGTCTCAGTGGCACAAATGAATAAATACAACAATTTCTATATGTGTTTTCCTACCTTCCCTCCTAGTTTTTGAGACAGAGCCTCACTGTGTAACCCTGGCTGGCCTGGAAATCACTTCGTAGAGCAGGCTGGCTTCCAAGTGCTGGGTCTCAAGGTGTGCACTAGCATGCCAGCTTTAAATGGTCACCCTTTCTGAAGCTGATTGTGTGCTTTCTCCTTTAGTTAAGGATGGTGGGGGGGTTACCACTGGTGATTTCCAGATGGTAAAGTTGGTTTTGGATCTCACAGACATACCCAATGTGATCACGACTTTCTGTCCTAATGGTTGTTGGTATTCTGGTGCGATTTCAGCTTCCATGAACTTCGAGGCTCACACTGATGTCCTTCTTTTGGATTGTCACCAAGTTTTAGCTTCAAGGTTGAGGTAGCCTCGTACCTCCATGCCTCTGGATTATTCGGTTATTTCTACTCTTTGGGTAACCCATGATGTTCTTGGCTTCTTATGAAATTAGATGCTGTATGAACAACCTTCTCAGCAGTATAAAACTCAGGCTTCCTATCCTTGTCAGTCTGCTTATATGTGCTTTATGCTGATGTGCGATTCCCCTCTGTATGCTATGAATATGTCTTATTACCATTATTTTATTAACTGCCTATGGCAAGGCAGAATATAGCCAGACTGGAAGAACATACAGAGAGTATGCGGAGTCAAAGAGATACCATGTAGCCGCCAAAGGAGAAAGATGCCCACCTAACGGCCGCAACCCTCCTAACCTGCTTGTAGCTAAGGAATAAATACTACATATGCAATCTAACACAAACTTGTAAACATATTTAAAACATTTTTTTTAATCTCAACTGTCTGGTTCTTGAATGTGAACTTTCTAGATGATAACACCATGTCATAATGTCAAAAGGCTGACCATACTGCTGGCACTTGAGAAGGTGATGCTCCTTAGAGTCTTTGGAGAATAAATTCAAGTGAGAATGAGTGCCACCCGAAACATCTGTGTTGTGGCAGAAAGGGCATTTGGAGAAGATGCCATGTGAACATGAAGACAGCCCCCAGCAGAGCCAGATGCCCTCTGGAGAACCAACCCTGACAAGACCTTGATTTGGGACCCCTGGTTTCAGCTGCCCAGACTAAGCCTGTAACACTTGTGCACAGCCCTAGGAGACCGAGAGATGTGCATGCTCTTCCCCAGGAGCCCTGTGGCATGCTGCACCAGCCTCACGGCACGTGCTCAGTTCTCTTGAGGTGTAGGTATGGAAGAAGGGAACATGCCTAACTCTCACTGTACTGGTGACAATCCAGGCGACCATGCCTAAGTGTTGTCCCCTCTGAGCACCCTTCCATAGAAGCCAATGGCCTTTCCTTAGCAGCTAATATATTTAGTTTTAGAATCCATGTGGATCAATTCAGCTAAGACCACAGGCCAGCCTCTCCATAAATGAGATCTGTGAAGTATTCACTCCAGACAGATAAAGGCTGGCCTTTCAGTGTCCTTGAGATCAGGAGCAGCTGGCTCTGTGCATATGCTATATGCATGACACTCACTGGGAACCTAGATGGCTCTGATAACGGAGGAAGAACAACTGGCTGACTGAACCTGAGCCAAGAAAGCCAGAGGTATGGCTGAGAAATGCCTCTGTAGTGGCTCTATGCAGACACCATGGGAGCCTGGCACAGCAGAGGCAAAGGGTCAGACTTTCAGCAGCACTGAGAGGGCTGGCTGAGCGGTAAGGAAGACACAACCCCTGGGAAACAGGCAGCCTGCAACGGCTGTACCCCAGAGGGTCCCACCAGGCACCCTCACAAGCCTGAGCAGAGGAATGGCACAGTTAATGGGCCCCCCACCTTGGATCCCTGTGGTCACCTCCCCAGAGGTCTTTGCTGAGGGCTCCCCCTAGCAGGCTGTTAGGTTCCTTGTGCTGGTTTGGAATGCTGATGGCTGCCACTCTAGCCACCTGAGGTTCTGTGTCTGTACTGGTTGTAGGTGAGGCCACAAGGGGGACCAAGACAGGAGGCACTGAAGGGGAGAGAGGATTCTGGTGGCAACCAGTGTGTTCCAGAAGGGGATGTGCAGTCAGCACAGTGTGGCCTCCAGGTACTGCGATCTGCTGGGATGAGCTACAGGTGGGCCTGGAAGATTCTACCAAGGAACCATCTGGAGGCAGTTGAGGCACCAAATTGCCCTTCCCTCTAGAGAGTCCTGGGCGGTCACCAGCCTTGCAGCCTTCTGTCTGGGCCCGCAGGATCTTTGGTCTGGGCTTGGTGGGGCCCTTCTGCCTCCAGTAGGGAAGGTGCCTGTGGTCCAGCCTGCTGGCCCAGCGAGGTCTCCGGGAGAGGACCAACCGCCAAGAAGCCTGGCCTTTTGGTCCAAGGCTCTGTGGGCGCCTTCCCAGCCGGTCCATCCGGGTCCTCATGGTGGCCACTTCCTGAGTCAGGCCTGCCAACGCTGCTGCAAGCTGGTCCAGCTTGTTCGTAAGGGCAGTACCAAGGCTGTGTAGCTCCTGCTGCAGGGATCTGCCACAGGGGCATGGTGGCTGTGAAGAAGTGGGTGGCCACGTTGACAAGTCAGTTGTGGGAAGGGGAGACTTGCTAGGTGGCTCCAGAGGGTCCCCAGAAAGCAGCTTTCCTTGGGTCCTGGCTAAAACCAAAGAAGCAATGGGTAAGAGTGCTTAGGTTGTAAGGGCCTTCTCTATGGCCTCAGAGATGTATTTAGTGTACCCAGTGTCCTGCCCCCATAAAGCCTGGCTTCCAGAAAATTTTGATCTTAGGGCTACCCCAACCCAGAAAAAAGCCTAGTTAATTCTTCAGTTTCACATCCCCTGGAGTAGGTCTCACCCTAGGCAACTGGGGTGCTGGTCAAGGCCCCTGCCATTCTTCAGCCATTTAGCTCAGAATGGAAGAGGGGTCTGCTGTTTGTTAAACCCCAGCCAAGGCTCTGCCTTTGTCTTTTCAGTACCGTTAGGGCTGCAGACGGGGAAGGACCCACACCCTGTCTCACTAAGTTCTTGAATTAAAGCAAGGATCTGAAATTGAGGCAGGGGATCACGAGTTTCAGGTGGCCTGGGTTACTTGTCTCACACAAAATCTTTGAAACCTTGACTGAAACAAAAACTAACAATTCAACATCACAAAACACTGTGGTCTGATGCTTCATCTGCGGGAGGGCAGACAGGGCTTGTAACAAAACCTCGCATTCTCAGAGGGGCCAAAGCTTACAGGAAAAGAAGGTGCCCAGCATCCAGCACAGGTACACAAGGCAGCAAGGGACATGTGGCACGGGCATCTGAGTCCTGCAAACCAAGGACGGCTCAGGGTATGGGTGCATCATCCTGCCTGTTGTCATTGTGGGTCCCTGAACAAAACCATGTGAAGGTTTCCAGCCAGGTCACTCAACAGTGCTGACGTTCAGTTCCCTCAAACCCAAACTTTGTCTCCAGATGCTTCTCAATGTCTCTAAAAGGTGAGCCTGGCACTTTTACGAAAACCCGGAAGCGAACCATGTACCTGAGTGGCTTCAGTGGAAGACTTCCCTACCCAGTGGAAGACTTCCCTACCCAGATGATGAACTTGGACCACGTTTACCTCCTTAGGCTGGGGCCTGGGTTCTGATTTTCTCAGAGGCCACTAAAGCACAGCAAATGCTGCAGAAGTCACCAGCTCACCTGTGCTGCTGGGTTGCCCATGTCCAGGCTCCAGGTCCTTGGGATCTTCAGGACCCTTGGGCTCAGGCCTTTCCTCTGGCTGAGGGGCAGGCCATGGGTACGTAGTTGCCTCTGCAGAAAGAGCACAGAGCACTTGGGACAAGGACAATATTGTTTTGCTAGTGCCACTCCAACATGGGGATATTCTGATGAGCCACATGTACCCATTCCCACCGTCATCCCAATGGCAAATGTGTAACTTTTAAGCAGTAATTAACTCAGGTGCAATGTGTTGGGGATCCTAACACTGGTGTGCTGGCCTGCTGTGGCATGTGGAGCACACGCTGCCGTGCCCTGCAAATCCTCAGTGACCTGTAAGGAAATGTGACAATTCCAAGGTCCCTACCTCCTCTTTTTCCTTCTTCTTTAACTTCAGCACTGCTGACAGGGCCAGGCTGGCATGTGTACTCTGCAGTCCCTTCTCTTCTGGGTGACTGGGACTTGACTCCTGTCCCTTCTGCCCTTCCTGTTAGGAACAAAGTCTGGGTCACAGCTCAGGCGGAGAGTAAAGTGGCTTGTAATACCAGGTGTCATCTCTAGACTTCTGAGCTAATCCCAAGAAGTTCTATTCTCACTGTGTATGAGATGCTGGGGATAACACCCAGGGCCTCACGCATGCTAGAAAAGTATACACCACTGAAAAAGATCACTTCTGATATTTCTATTGTTTGCCAAGTTTAAAAAATGTTATTGAATACTAACTATATGGTGTGTGTACATATATATATATATATCTGTATATATACACACACACACATATATATGCATGTATGCATGTATTAATGAGCATATATGTAGATATTATGTATCTATCATTCAGTGGTTTACCAAGATCTCCTTACAGAACACAGCCCTTGGATCAGCCTCCCTCACAGGATCTAAAGTTCAACAAATTAGGGGGATGTTTTAATGAGAGTCAACAGAATAACAATGAGACTCGGAGAATAAAGTCTGGATCTACGGACCAATGGGGACTGGTCTCTATCATCCAGGAGGACTCCAGGCTTACCTGTACCGAGGCTGCTACAGTCCCTGGGCTCTGTTCTCTCAGGGTCTTCAGCAAGACAACTACTGTTGTTGACTCTTGGAGACGCTCCAGAGACAGGGCACAGAGGGCCAGGACCCTTACTGGAGGGAAGGGGGTCTCTCTCTGTGTCATAAGTAAGCTAGCATCAGAGTACTGACAGGCACCTCAAGGAGCAGCTCACTGCCACCCCCACCCCCACGGCAGCAGACTCACTCTGGAGGGGTGGCTGCCAGAATGCAGGCTCTGGCCTTAGGTCTTCTCCATCGGAGCTGCTGATGCTGGAGCTGGAGCAGGGGCTGGGACTGGGGGCAGGGCCAGTCACGCAGGTGAAACGCAAGGGTCTCACGGGCAAGATCCCCCTCAGAGAGCTCTCCAGGCAGTGCAGGGGGGAGGGCATGGTGGCTGTCTCTAAACAAAGGACAAAAAGAGTTCACTGCCCAGTACCCGACAGCATAGTTTTGATGATCAGATACTCAGGATTCATCCTTTTCTGCTCAGTCCATATGGGCTCTGGGGGAGGGGCCTGAACAACTTACTTTCTGGTCCCATGTGTACAGGGGTACCCCTTAATCCCAGCAGCACCTCCACTGCAGACACCCCACAAGTAAACCAAACATCCTATTCTTTCTCAGTCCACTCTGTTTCTGTCTACTTCTATATTCCATGCAAGGGAAGGAACAGAGCAATAGAGAGATGGGAAGACTATATTGTCTTGGCAAAAGCTAACTGGAAGGAAACTATGGTGTGAACTCTGAAGGTAGCTCACCATCTTTTGGCCATTGCCACGTTCCTGGTCTGACAGTCATCTGTGGACTGCCTAGACGGAGACTCCTGCTGGGTACTTCTCCTCGACCCTGTCCGAGGTGGGGTGGTTCACAGGCCTCGCCCCTCGGTCCTGTTTTAATGAGAACAGTTCTGACAGTCCTATGGGACCTCATACTGCCACAGAATGGACAGATTTCTACCACTGCCAGGCTTTTAGCACACAAGTTTCAGGTGTGGAAATGACCATGCTTGGTCACTACACCAGCCCAAACCCCTGGGATCTCTTTACTCCCAACCCAAACGACATGGAATCCCAGGAGGTGTATAACTCAGTGCCCAGACAACAAGGCACAAAGGGATGACACAGTCAGCAAATCGGAGCAGCTCACTGGAGCAGCAGACAGTGGTGCTGGGCCTTCCCATCCTGGACTCCATCACTCACTTAACTGAGTCTGCCTGAGTGGGGAAGTGACTCTTTCCAGAACATCCTCTCAGCTCAGCTGAGATCTGGCCTGAGGGCTGCTATGCCACTGCCAAAGTCACAGTCCAGGAGGGATTGCTTTCCCCAGGTTCCCACAAATACCACGCTACCTTCTCTGTCTGCAGTCCAGTTCCTGGGCTCTGGTCTCTTCAACCCCCTGTCTACAGTCAAGGAACAAGGCCAGGCAGCCTGTGGCCTGGGAACTGGGATCTCTCTCAGACAGTTCTCCAGGCCTTGGAGTGGAGAGTTTCCTGGTGGATATCCTGTAGCCAAACATGAACAATCTTAGATGAGTAGCCAGGGCTCTGTGAATCCCTGAAGCCTGCCTCTTTTGCCCTGATTAGAGGAAGGAGGCTCAGAATATAGGACATGTCCTGGGAGCTCAGGGCCCCAGAAGGAGACACAGCCCCACATACTTGCCATCCCTGGTTTGGGGTAGCCCTGCTACAGAAGTCTGCCTTGGGGAGTAGAATGAGAGCGTCTAGTCAAACGGGTCTAGTTTAGCACAGCGGTTGTCACCATGTTGTGGGGTGGGCTGCCTGCTTAGAGTGAAGGATACCCTAACAATCCAATGTGCACAAGGCTTCTTTCACCCCTCCAAGGAGGGCAATGATGCAGGCCTTCTTGCCTCTCAGGGTACTCCTACTGACAGAGTCTTGTGCAGACAATGGGAACTAGATGATGTGAAAGTCTAGAGGGATAAGGTAAGTAGACAGTACTGCCATGAGGCCATGCGGCACCTGCTGTCTGCTCTGGAACCAGGCAGAGGTTGTAAACAAGAGGCTATCATGTGGGGCTGGTGTAGCATAGCATAACATGGAAGTATAGGCCAAGTGTTTGCCAAGCACACCGGAGTTTGATCTCCGGAACACATATGGTGTTGGAAAATTTAGAACTGACTCTTGCAAGTTATCCTTTGATCATTTGTAAGCCACGGTACACATGGGGGGGGGGGCACTGAAGTTGAAGGACATTTGAGTTCTATACTGGGGGAGGTTCCTCAGTGGGTTCAGGAAAAGAGAAAGCAGGCTCTGCAATGAAAGCCGTCTCCTGTATACTACAATAGTAACTCCTACTTCTAGCAAGATGTCACTTATCTCTTCTATGTGCCAGGCAAGAGCAAAGTAAGGCATCCTGCCCATGATTAGGCAGTGTTTGGCAAGACTACCAGCATCTCTGATGGGGGCAATAATAGAGTACACGTAAATGTGTGACTTGCCCAGCGTCTGGTTTTGTCTGTGCCTTCTGTCGTCTGGGCCTGTATTCATCTCTGCTGCTTTAACACTGAGTAGCACTCCGAGCCAAGCCTTACACTGATTCTGCCGGAGACTTAGAGTCGTATAAATTAGGAGCTTGGTAGGCGTGGGATTGGGGACTTTGAGAAAATGCAGCTGTTAACAGCTGTCCATGATGGCTGAAGAACAGCAGGCAGACTGTATAACTCCTCAGGGTAAACTAGAACGAGTCACTCTGGGCTGCTGGTGCCATGCGACCGAGGCAGATGTCAATTTACATTTCCAGGCCTTTAGCAATGGATGTGGCCAGGGCACAGCTGGGCAGATGCACTGAGTATCCACTCACAGGACAAGACAGACATGATTGTTGCAAGAGGAAAGCACAGGGGAATGCTGAGAGAGCACCAGAAGACCCCACAGTCTCCAAGAGTGACTTCCTTTGGCAGGGCCCAGGAAGGCACAGGTGACTGAGTCTTCTGAGATCCTTACTCTACCTTCCCTAAGTCAAAGGTCATTTAGTATTATAGATACTTCTTTTTGTCTGTGATAGGGAAGTGTTTATTATAAGGGAGATTCTGGGCACACTGCCAGCCATTGTCCTATCCCTTCTGGGCCAAGCTACTACAACAAGCCCTTCTCACCCTGCCAAGACAAGTCCTGGCTCTGTTTCTGCTTTGGTATACACAGTTCTTCTGGCACTATGGCAGAGATAATAGTGGGCAAGGACCAATGTATTCCTTCCCCGAGGATTCCGACCTCAGGCTGGACCAGCTCACCTTTCCCAAGTCGTTGCCCCAGATTGTTCCTGGGGCTCCTGAAATCCAGATCCCCATCACTGCTGCTGGCTGAGGAGAAGCTGGTAGGGGTACCCTGGGAACCAGAGGGTTGAATCCCAGGTCCCTCTCTCATGCAGCCCTGCAAGCTCAGAGGAAGAAGTGGCTCTCGCGTAGCTTCTGCAGAATGAAGTATAACTGGGTCAAGGAAGAGCATGATGTAGAAGTCCTTCAGCCTTAGAGTATATGGCACCAGAAGACCCAGTCCAGGGAACCACTTCCCCTTCCAGGGTTTCCCATGGCACTGACCAAAGTCTACCTACCACTCCCGTCCCCCCACAATATAGTCTTGGGAATAAGAAGTCCTCAGAATAGGGAAGTGGGTGGGTAGAATGTGGCTCTCACCAAACCTGGATAGCTATTTGGGTCAGGCATGAAGCAGGGGTCAGGAAAGAAAGACACATATTCAAGGAGGCCCAGATAAGATGACCGGATGGTGCCCTCAGTATCTCCCCTCACTGTGTGCACAGAAATAATTGTTACCCTGGGCCCAAGTACCTTCACTGTGGGATCCTTGTGGCTGTAGTTCAAGCCTCTGAGATCCAGAATCTCCTGGCTGGGGACTTCTGGACCATGAGGTGGCTAGCGGCTGAAGAGGTGATGACCCACCTGGAGGAATGCCCTTTAGACAAGCCTCTAGAGCTTCTAGTGGTGAGCTTGAGGCCCTGCTGGCTGGACAAGAGAGGTCACCTTGTCATCTCTTGCTGGGCTCTGGCCTGCTAGTCAGACCCCAGCTTGGCCCTTGGCTATCTGGCTGGCCCATAGACTAACTTCTACAGTAGGCTCCAGGGATCTGCTAAGGAGGAGATCCTCCAATGAGGAACCTTGAATGTGTTTTCTGCTTCTACAGAAGGAATGACGCTGTCCCCAGTTCTGAGAAGGGTGGACTAGCCACCTGCGTGTTGTGGTCAGCTTCCACAGTCAGGACCTCACTGTAAAAAGGTCCTGAAACCAGAGGGTGGCTGAGCACGGGCCTGGATTGAGAACATGGACTAAGAACAGCTTGGGAGGAGAGACAGGGGAAAGGCTCATTGACCAAAAGAGAAGCAGGTTCTTCTCTGCGGGCTTTGGAACCCAGAACTTACCGAGAGTCATGGGGCCCCAGCGGGGTACACGGACCTCTCTGGTATCTCCAGTGAAATAGGGACTGTGGCCTTGCCTGCTAAGCTGGCAGGATGCTGGCGCTGGGGGACTCTGAACCCAGCTATCTTCTACTTTCACCATGGCAAGCATATTTCCAGCTCCATGACTCCGACGGAGAGGAGGAGTCTGGGGGCATCTCATCCCTGTGGGAAAGATGGCTGCTGGGAAACCCAGGTTTCAGGCTTAGACTCAACCTAAGTTTTGGGAGCTCCACTTCATAGGGCTAGGAGAGACTTCCAAGGCTCCTCTGCCTACACAGCAGTCACTGGCTCTGGGTATGATCACCTCTCAAGCCCAAGCACAGTTCCAAGTAACACCCCTACTACCTCTAGGATGCTCAGGAGCTTTCTAAGGGATGTTACAGTGAGCCATTCCCTGGTCAGCAACAAATCAGATCTTGCTCCTCGTGCAGCAGGTTTGGCTCAACCCCACCCTCTCAAGGCCAAGTTCTCAGGAACACAAGTTTATTGATAAACTGACAAATAATCCTGCTCCAAACATACGTGCTGAGAATCGTATCCTCCAGCCATAGACCCTAGCCTGAACACAGGATGGCAGGAACCCCCAGCCACAATCACGGTCTACTGTGCTACAACTCCTGCCTATTTCATTCCCTGTCCCTCCCCAACAGTCCTTCGAAACATTTCCTGTAACCCTTTTCTTCCTATAACAGGAGCCAGTTTGGAAAATTATGAGACACTCCTATACGCTTTGCTCTTGCACAGCGTGATGGGGTTCAGCATGGGACTGCCTAACCTGCATGCTGACTTAAGGCATGGATTTGGTTGGGAAGGGTCACACACAGCTGTGCTCAGAGCAGAGAAGCCAAAGACAGACATCTAGCTCCCTGACCACTAATCTAGCCAATGACCTTTACCTCCAGAATTCCTTTTCCCTGGGTCCTCCTGCAGTCGCACGTCCCCTGCTCCCGAGGGGCTGGGACGCCTGTCTGGGGCTTCTGGGATTTCCTTCAGACAGTTCAGCAGTCCTTGAAGGGGACAATCCCCAGATACTGGCTCCGTCTTCACTAAGGGAAAGGACACACGTTTCACTTAAGCTCAAGGTCCTCAGTCTCCTGACAGACAGACAAGGACTGTCCTGGATTGTAGTCTAAGCAGCACAGGGCTAAAAACCAGGACCTGTAAATCCTATGTGTGGGTAGCACCTAGCCACAGCTAGCACTCAGGGTGCAAACTGAGGGATATAGGCTGGCAGTTTCTGAGTATAACTTAGCTTCAAAGTCTAGTAGGTCTCGACATGCACATGAAATGTTCATACAAGAGAGGAATTCTGTAGTTAAGTTCACCCCAACCCGGAGAATGGAACAGCTGCCCTCTAGAGATGCAAGATCAAAGGTCAAAGCTTCAGCAGTCTTTTGAAGGAAAACCTCAGGCAGACCTCAGTGTCCACTGACACCCCATTCATGTCAAGAGAAAGTGACATTCGAGCACCAAAGTCCTCCTCAGAGTCCCATATCAGGAGTAGAGAACAGTGAAGAGAACAGGACAAAGTCTGCTGCTGCCATCCTTGAAAGCCACTGACCCTAGGGACACAGGAGTGGTCATCTCATGGAGACAGCATGGAGCACAGCAATAGCTAAGAACGGCAATCTGAGCTCCCCAGGGACTGTGGAGACTTTGGTCTGTGCAGGCCAGGTGCCCAGGGACTCACCCGGGCAGGGCAGGCTTCCTGACTCCACCTCAGCTCTGGTCTGCTTCAACACACTCAGGCCAGGGAGAGAAGGTGGCAAGTCTGGGGCTGTCCCACGGTGCTGGGGCCCGGGCACAAGGATTTCCTTCAGACAGTTGATGAGGCCTTGCAAGGGACTGTTCTCAGGAGCGGTTCCTATGCACATACAAGGCAGCTAAGGTCAGTGTAGTCCTGAGAGGCAACATGAGACCCTCAGTTATTTCTGCCATCACTGGGCAGCTAAGAACCACCCATACACACACACAAAGCTTATCTTACAGCAGTGGCTCTCAACCTATGGGTTGTGACCCCTTCACGGTCACATATTGGATATTTATATTATGATTCATAATAGTAGTAAAATTCTAGCTATGAAGTAGCAATGAAATAACTTTATGGCTGGGGGTCACCATAACATGAGGAACTGTATTAAAGTATCGCAGCACTAGGAAGGTTGAGAATCACAGTCCCATAGGGTTGTCTTGAAGTTCAAATGAGCAAGACATGGCCTTCTCTGACTCTGCTCAGCTTTAGACTGCGAGACCCCAGGAAAGCCAGTCTTTCACCTGTTCCTGTGCTGTCTCTATCCTGTCTTCCATGGCTCTTGCTCTGGTCCAGGCTTTGAGTGGGATGAACGGAAGGCTCTCCTGAAGCTCCTAAGCCTTCCTTCTCTATAGTCAGTGGGTTATCAGCAGTTCCTACTGCAAAATACAAAGAAAGCAGTGTTATGGGGGACTTGGATTCTGGAATCACCCCAGATCTGCTCCCCAAGAGGACAGATCACTCAAACTTTCCAACCTGAGAGCCCCCCAGATCCTAAAAATTAGCCTCGTGCCAGTGCTATCTCTGGAGGATTTGTTCCAGGAGGGTTGGAGGCTATTTCCTGTTTCCTTCTGGTTTAGCTGTAAATACCCAGACTCATTTATGCTGAATGTTTCCAGACCCATTCCCTGACCCCAGTCTCTATCTGGCCCAGCCGATGAAGCCAACAGTCACAACACAGGTCAGGCTTGTACTCATGCTTCTTCTTCTGGGGTGTGTGTATGTGTGTGTGTGTGTGTGTGCTGTTTTTGTTGTTGATGTTTTATTTTTCCTTAGAGACGCTTTTTCTCTGTGTAGCCCTGACTGTCCTAGGACTTGCTTTGTAGACCAAGCTGGCTTCAAACTCACCGAGATCGGCCTGCCTCTGCCTTCTGAATGATGGGATTAAAAACATGCGTCACCACCCTCCGGCTGCCCTCAGGCTTCCTCTGTGGGGCTTGTGAGACAGATGGCACATGGAACCACAGGTTGATTGGGATATAATTTAGGGGAGTGTCCATTTTAATCTTTATTCATTTAAATATTCTAAATTAAAATACCAAAACAGGGCTAGAGAGATGGCTCAGCCATTAAAGGCTAAGCTTGCAAACAAAAATAAAAATCCAAAACATTCAGACAAGTACAATTTCGAAGTGTTTTAGAAGACAAACTGAGACCCCAGGGAAACTTTAGTGAGCAGCATTACTGCTCTGCTGCTAGCTGTGCTGAGGCAGTCTGAGAATCAAAGCAGGTGCACACAGGTAAGTGACCTACGGGGTGCACATGAGGAACTGCCCAGAGTTCTGTGCGTGTCTACAGTCCTCGCAATCAACAAAGGGATGGGCCATCTGGAACTGAGCATCAGATTACCGGGTCTGCAGCAGAGGCCAGGCGTGTTTTCTCATGATTCAGAGACCTACAGAGGAAGCTGAGCCAGAGAAAGTGAAGAGGGTGCAGGGTCCAAGGCCTGATTCGGGGTTTGCAATGCTGGGTGTCCCTGTGCGCACTGGGTCAGACTCACTGGTAGGTAGGGGACTTTCTTGTGCCCAGTCTCCAGGAGGGTCGCTGGAAGATGAGCTGCCTGTGGGTGTGGCGGCCAGGCTGGGGTGGCTTGCAGGGCTCTCCGGAAGAGAACTGAGCAGGCTGCGGGGAGGGTAAGTGTGCACGGCCCCAGCTGCTGTTGGGAGACGGAGAAAATGCCAACTGGTAAGCTGTCTTAACATTCCCACAGTCAGAGCGTTCCCTGTCATGCTCTACCAACAACAACCAGGAGCCAGGGACCTATTCACTGCCACTGCCGAGCTCTGAAACGCGAAGATTTCTGTCTTGGCCATGGCCTGAAGAGCACAGAGCGGTGAGTATGAAGCCGGTGCCGCCCTACACCTACACCTCTGCTCCCTTCCCGTGCCACCCAACGTTAACTGAAGAGGGCTGCAGCAGGTAGAGGGCCATGGTCTAGGGTGAGGTGGGTCCTGAGCTGACCGAGTGGAGAGGGAAAAAACAGACAGTTGCTGAAGCAGAAAGAGAAAGGCTGGCACTAGGATCTAGGACCCACTAGCTATCTGGACAAAGCTCTGCTTCTCTCCTGTTCCCCATAGGGACCAACACACTGCTCACCGCCATGCAAAGTGTAAGGCGGCAGGGAGGGATCACCAGGTGACTGGACAAAGACACAGAGATGGCAAGAGCTGTTCCCATATCCACTAGGTCCCAAAAGCTCAGAGGATGAGCACACAGAGGAGGTCAAGAGCTGGAAGGCAGCTATGCATTGCACTGTGGACTGCAGGGAGGTCACTCTTGCAGCTTGCCTGACTTACCCTCAGGCGTCGCTTGATCCCCTTCCAGACTGGTGCTCCCACTCTCGGAGTAGTCCTCAGCACCCTTCACCTCTCCAAACAGGAACTCCGGTATCTCCTTTACCAGCTGCACTAGGGCGGTGAGGTGCAGGCTCTGCTGGGGCTGCCCTCCTGTGGAAAGTGTGAGCCCTGTGCTCAGCCACCTAGCTCCCCAGGGAGCCCTACAACAGCTGGAGTAGCCCCAGGGAGCAAATGGCTCAGAGAAGGGAGGGCTGAGCTCACGAGGTTCTGCACATTACCCAGTAGCTCCTCTTGCCTCCTTTCCATTAAGAGCAATACTGAAGGGCCCTGTGGCTCCATCTGGCCTGCTACCTTTCTTCCCTTACTCTGGCCCCAGGGCCACCTCTACTGTCTAAGCCGCAGGCTGGCTCTGGGTAGTGGTAAGTGGGTCAAAGTCAGAGGTTCTCCCCCACGTGACCTCAGGTTTTATTCTGAACATTTTTCCATGGACTAGACTACATGCAATGAGAAGAAGGAGGTGCTCAAAGTCTATGGGGAGGACCTACCCTGGGACCCATGCTCCACTGGGGGTTCTTGTCCCTTATCGTGGTGGCTCTCTTCTGTTGTGGCTCCTCCAGGCCCCGAGGGTGACAGGAAGGCAGAGAGAGGAAGCAGCTCAGAGGTCCCTGGGGAAATAATGAGCAGTTACTCTGGGAACTGAGTGGCTTTTACCCTCCCACAGTCATGTGATGGCCCAGATGTCTGCTTATCTATGCATAGCTTTCCATATGTTTGTGTGGTCACCAAATTCAAAGGCCATATACCCCTAAAGCTCTGTACCCAGACCCCCACTCTGGCTCATAGAAACGAACAAAGGAACAAAGAAAAGTGAGGCTCTGGACATCCTCAAGCTCTGAACACCCTTAAAACTACTCAATTCACAGATGAGAAGGCCAAGGCCTGGAGGAGCCTCGGGTCTCACAGAGACTCAAGACCCCTGGGCAGGGACCCTGGCCTCCTTCACTGCAACCCTCTTCTGTCCCTGCAACCCACACTCTGGAGGCCTCGGGCCCTCACCCACAGACACCAACGTCTCGTAGTTTTCCCGCATCACGTCTCTGTAGAATTCCCGCTGCCCCTCTTGCAGGAGCCGCCACTCTTCTTCAGAGAACCGCACGGCCAAGTCCTTGAAGCTGATGGGCACCTGTGGGCACAGTCTCCGGGGGGGTTGGCTGCATCCATGCCAACAAGGCCCACCCAAACTGTCCCTTAGCTCAGTGAGCCACATGGGTCTCCTGGTAGACACTGGGAGCAGGCAGTGCAGACATGGGTGGGACCTGGCCTGGGTCTAACAGTTACTGGGACAATGCTGCAGCTAGCTGGGCACCCAGGAAGATGCGCCACCGGCCACATTTTAGAAACAAGGTCACCACAGGTGTAACTAGGAATGAAATTACATTCCTTAGTGCACAGCAAGTCCTATTTGCTGTGCCAGTTATCAGGACTATCTGGGAGCCTGGAACTCCAGCACAGTGGCACTGAGAGGAGGACAATGGTTACTACAAGACCAGCTTGTTACCAACGTCTAGTACTCTTTATCCCAAATTCTTGGGGTCGGACGTGTTTTGAATATTTAATTTTGAATGTTCTCATGTACATAATAAATTATTTTAGAGATGGCACTCAAGTCTAAATAGAGATTCATCTATATTTTGTTCTTTATACACCTAGCCGAAGGTAACTTTTACAGTGTTTTTTGACGGCATTTGGACTGCAAGCGATCACAGGAGCTCTTGTGTGGACTTCTCTACACAGGGCATCTCAGCGCTCACAAGTTTTGCCTTTTGGAGCATTTCTCATCTCAGATTTCCAGACTAGGGTTAACTAACTCATATAGCAAAGAAAAATGACTTCCTGCTCCTCAGCAGAGACGACATAATTCATGTCAGAAATCAAACGCCCCCAACAGCTGCGGGCAGCAACAAAAAAAAACTCATGAAGCCCTGAAGGTCTAAAGAAGATAGACCCCTTTTCACCTGCCAGCCAGGCAGCAGGTGAGTCAGGCACTCGTAGGTCTAACAGACTCCAATCTGGCCCAGGTTCTGAGCTGCTGGGCAGAACCCACCTTCACTTTTCCAGTCCCACCTGCCCTGCAAGGCTTCGACTCTCCAGAGACCCTGGTCCAGCTGTGGTGAGTTCCACAGGGAAAAGCTGTGACAGCTGCCAGCAGGTGCATGTAGCAGAAGCATGCAGAGGGAGGTGAGGGTCACAGAGCCCTTCTAGGGGCCCCACCTAGAGGCCCCAACTCACCATGCTCTCTACCCCGTGCCTCCCACAATGGCCACTTAGCACTGAAAGCCTCTAGTATACAGTCCTCAGGGACTCAGAAGAAACCTGAAACCCGGGAGCTTCAAATAGTTCTTCACAGCCACACTCCACACCTTTATCTGCTATGCTCACCTCCTGTACCCTGTGACTTTGTAAGACGAAAGCAATCTCTTCCTTTCTGTAAAAGTCGTAATTCTGTAGACTTTAAAACAGCATGAAAACTGAGACAATGACCAACACCTGATAGCCATGAACTGAAATTATGGGAGAAAAGAACCACACAAGCGACACAAACAGAATGTAAATTATGGGAAGAATCCATCGAGGTTAGAAACAAGCGTGATCTGCAGGCAGGACCTTTGAAAACAGGAACACTTCTGATAAAGCAGAGGAGAGTCGACTGTCTAGTTCATGCATTTAAGTCAGTGACTTTAAAAACTGTCTCTCTTACTAACTGGCAGCCTTGCCACCTACTGCCTGCCATCTCTCTGCTTTCCATTCCTGACAGCTGACAGCTACCACTGTGCACACACTAGGATCATATACCTAATGCCCTGACATTTTGAAGTAGTTAGGCTCCAACAACACATCTGGCTAGAGACCACATTCCCAGTGACTGCTGACAGCCAGAAGGCCAGAAGGGATCAGAGGCAGTGAGCGTCCTTTGCCTCTTAGCTCACTGTGCATTCCCAACCATCTCTGTGGTCTGCTGGTCAGCAGCCTCCTTCCCCAAGCTTAACTCTTGGGCCAGATTGGAGTCTGTTAGACCTCTGGCCCACTGTGGCCACTATCCCTCAGACACCTCAGATACTCCACAAACCTAGAGCAGGGAGCCATTTTGCATTTCTTATTGGCCTCCTAGCACATAAAATGTGGACAATCTTAGGTTCTGTACTGAGGAGCCAACACAGCAGGCCTGCCACTGCTGCCCTTCAAAATGCCTAGACCTAGGCAGGCACCTGGGAATGTGCATCTCAAAGGATGTCTACTGGTTAACACACTAGCTAATCTGTATGATACAGCTTGTGCTGAACACACGTCTTCTTTCTAGGTGTCTGCGAAGGCAGATGCCAGGAGAAGATGCCTGCGTGACCTGTTCTCAGCAACAATCCTGGGTGTAGAGTCTCTGGCAAGATTTTCCCAGTTGGCATTCCACATGGGTCATTCACCATTATGCTGGGGGAGCTAAGTGCTTCTTGGAGACTGCACTGGAGGCCTCTGGGAAGCTGCCCTCGAGTTTCTCCTAACCTCGCATCTGTTGAATTTGTCAGATGTTTTCCTGTTGTCATGGACATAGCTGTGAGTCTAACTACCTGCTGAGCCCAAATCCTTACGGGCATCTCTAGCTCTCAAATGCTCTTGGGCATGCTAGCTAGCACAGGACCCCATTACACTTGGCCACCTTATAACACCTCCCCACACCCATGCATTCAACCTATCACTTCTAGTCTCGCCTTTGGCAACTCTGCCACAGCTCTGTCCTCTGGTCCTTTCTGTGCTGCTCTCTTCTACCTCTTCCTTCTGGTACCTATCAGCCAATGCCTGGGAGCCATGGCGGCCGGTTGGTAGAGGGGGAAGAAGCTGGTGAGTCCTCATGTGTGAGCTGCAGGCCCCAGGCCTTGACAATAGGTTCAGAGTCCAAAGGGGCATATACATACATGTTCCCTACAGACCAAATACGCATTTTTGCTTACACACTTTAATTATTGTTTAAACATGTTCAGATGCTGCTGTGATGAAAAAGCATGTCCTTTAAAAGTCATACAAATTATGACATATGAACATCTACCATCCAGCAGCACTAAATAGAAGACTATGGGACATCAGGGAGGTTTCACCATCAAAAAGGAGTCACAGAGGCAAAAGAATAGAAGCCCCTGTTTATAATCCAACTTTCTCACTGTGATAGCTAAGGGAACAGGAGTGATCAGTCATCTGAAAGGGCGACCAAGCCATGGCAACAGAGAGGCATGGCCCAATGGGGCCTGCAACCTAAGAACTGGAACCTGGTCAACTGTTCCAGACCCTGTCAGAAGCAAGGTGCTCCCACAGAATAGCATAAGTTTGTAGATGGAGTCCAGCAAAAGGCAAGGACTAGCTTGTGGGTCCTTGACCTTAACCACAGGACGTGTGTCCTCTGGCCTACATTGCAGAACTCTTCCTAAACAGCAGTGTGGTTCAGGCTGCTAGAGCTCCATGCTGCCAGCTGTCAAGCTTGTCCGGCACCTCTACGCTTACGAGACAGCTCTCCCTCCATTAGCACTTGGCTTCCCATGCAGGGTCCACTCTAGGCACAGGAATGAATGATTAGGCCATTATCTGGGGGAGCCATTTTCTGATGAAGGACGGGTTCAGCCCTCTTCTTCCTCTGTTTACCTATGCTCTTCTGCCCTTCTGCCTTCCACTGTGGAATGACAGTGCTATTGGCGGACCGTGAAGGTCCCCACCCCCACAGCTCATGTTTTAAAAGCTTGTTCCCTGCCTGCTCAACTATTTTAGAAGGTTAAAGACACTACAGAAAGTGGACCTAGTACGTCACTGGAGGTGGGTCCTTTGGGGTGTAGTCCTCCTGGTTCCTTCCTGGCACACCCACTATCTCCCAATCATCAAAACTTAGAGAACATAGGCTTGCTGCTATGATGTTCTGCCCAACTACAGGGGTCAAATGACCATGACTGAATCCTCTGAAAGCACGAACCAAAATAATCCTAGCCTCTCTTAGGTGTTTCTGCTGGGTGTTTGCCAACACAATCCTTGCCAGATGTCAGTTCCTTGCCAGATACTGGTCCTTTGATTTTGGATTTCTCAGCAACCCAAACAGTGAAAGAAAAAAAGAAAGAAAGATCTATTTTGTAGTTGTTTGCTTTTTGAGAGAGGGTCTCACTATTGCAGTGCTGTCTGTCCTGGAACATGTTATGTAGGCCAGGATGGCTTTAAACTTAGAGATTGGGTTGGCTCTGCCTCTCGAGTGTTAGGATTAAAGTCGAGAGCCACCACATGCAGTCAAAATCTCTGTTCGTTGTAAGTGGTCCATGTTAGGTGTTTTATCATAGAAATACAAACAAGACCGCGGCCCAGACATTCCATAGCTGTATCTTCAGGCTTCGTGCATTCTCAGTTTGTCAGCTCCAGTTTTTTTTTTTTTTTAAATATTTATTTATTTATTATGTATACAATATTCTGTCTGTGTGTAAGCTTGAAGGCCAGAAGAGGGTGCCAGACCTCTTTACAGATGGTTGTGAGCCACCATGTGGTTGCTGGGAATTGAACTCAGGACCCTTGGAAGAGCAGGCAATGCTCTTAACCACTGAGCCATCTCTCCAGCCCGTCAGCTCCAGTTTTTACTGGCTCCCTCTCTGTCTGTGTCTGTTTCTACTTCCGTAACAGATACCTGAGTAGGGAGACTTATAGAGAAAACAAAGTGATTTCTTATAGTTGCAGATGCCAGTAAGTCCAAGGTGATGGGGCCATGTTGGCTGAGCCCCCCCTTGCCACATCATATAGTCTATAACAGTTTGATGGGGGGGGGGCATCACACAGTGAAACAAAGCAAGCAAGTCAGAAAGGCCTTTTAAACAAGGCGACTCCCTCAATAACTCATTAATAATAAGTCCAATGACTTCCCCACAAAGCTGGAAATTGAGTTTCTAATAGGCAAAATTTGGAGGATATTTGGAGGATATTGTTAAACTCCAGCATTCTAATTCATTTGTCTTTTGCTGCTTAGTGTTAAGTTGGTCCTCTTGAGAACCACAACCTAAGGTGCACTGAATGCCAGCATATTAGCTATGAGACGTCAAACAGTGACCCATCTGAGCCTTGGCAAACTCATCTGTAATAGTGGCTCTTGTCCTAGTTCACAGGGATATTGTACATACAGAATGAATAAGAATAAACACTGGGGCACACAAAGTGTGAGACTTATGTCGCTGTAGCCAGGTCTATCTGTCTAACGTTCATCTCCAGACCATGGTTTGTCACCTCAGGCTCTTCTAAACACTTGGCTTGGGGGTGGGCATGTGAGGCTCTTTATCTCAAGGCTAAATATATCTGCCTCTTTTAGGCCTCTGTGTGCAATATTTTCCAGACCTCTCTCCATCCTCGCCTAGGAAATCTTCACCGACAATGTTTTTTTATAGAATGTGAACGAGAACTCGCTGTGACTCCGGATGTTCCCTTCAGGGGTTTCCCAAACAGAAGAGGTGGAGCTGGGGATGTTGGTCAGAAGGTAAACTGTTGGCTAGCGTGTTCTGGGATTAATCCCCAGTGCTACACCAGCCAGATAACAGTGACACAGGCCTATAATTCCAGGTGGTTGTAGGAGGATCAGAAGTTCAAGGTCATATTCAGCCACGTGAGTCCTTGTCTCCAAAATAAATAAATAAATAAATAAATAGATAATAAAAATAAAAAGTGAAGAGTGACTAGTGTGAGAGGGAGAAGGAACAGGAGGAGGAGGGGGTGGGGAGACTGATGCAGGAGGATAGTTACCACTGGTCTGTCACATGGGTTCCTGCCTCCAGCCCTCAGAAGAAAAGCTTCTGGAGCTAACTTAGGGCCACTGTAGATGACTGACCTCCTTCTTAAGGCTTTGCTGTGTCGGTCTCTAAGAAACTGCGGTTTCAGCACTCAACAGTATCGGTCTGTCTACCTCATGGTCTTTGTCGACCCCATTGCCCCAGCATGCCTCAGGCTACCAGGTCGGAACTTGTAGTCAACACTGAACATACAGACTGCAGGCCTTCCCTGTCCGTCTCCATCAGACTGTGTCCTTCTTGCATTCCCAGGTACCAGACTTGACCATCTCCTCCATGCAGCTACACAGTATGAGGAGACATCCTTCCTTGAGCATCAGATCTGAGAGGTTCAACTCCCTCTGGATACAGAACGGGAAACCCAAATAAGCAGTCTCTACCACGGGGTCAGTGAGCATTTCTGAGTAAGAGTGTTCTTGAGTTGCCTGTCAGACAAAGCTACAAAGGACACTTCTGGGCCAGGCAACATCCCATTTACCTTACTTACTGTTTCTCCCCAAGATACTAGTGGGGTACTAGTGATATCTAGCCACACGCTGTGTTAGCCACGACCCCAACACAGCTGCCCAAGTCTGGCAAAGCTCCTAGGCAACAAAACTGCACATCTGATTCTGTCTACCTACAAGGCAGTGCAGCAACTGCCCTGGCATTTTCACAGCCTACGACCCTGCCCAAACTGTACCTAGGCCACAACAGATAGGACTCTTCTTCCAGCGCTAGGATTGACACATTTTACCAGCATAACTTGGATTTATTTTCTTTCTTCCCACTTTCTTGGCCCCACTCCCCGGGATTCTATATCTTAACAAAAGTAAATGTCAGATTTAGTTATCGCCTCAAATCCCGCCGAGGCCTCGATCGTGCACACTCTCATTGATATCTTAGACTGAGAACCTCAAGGAATGAGCTCCCCAGGTAGAAAAAAAGCTCTTGGGGGAAGAGGAGAGCTCTACACTTCTGGCCTGGGAATCCTGGGCATCTAGCTGGCCTGGCTGGGTTCACCGGAGCTCAAAGTCGGCGGTAAAGGGCCCCTTTTGCCCACCCCCCACCCCCACCCCCGGGCCGCGCGCTGCACCGAGAAGCTCGGCCGAGGCGTCCATCGGTCCGCAACGGCTCGTCTTACCTGGAGCGCCATGGCGGAACTCAGCTTCGCAACTCCCTGGCCCACCCAGCTTCCGGCGCGGCTCCGGTAGGAGGCTGCACCGAGACCCTCGAGACCCTCGAGGACAGCGGTCCAGCTCCGCACGACAGGAGGCGGGGCCGGGGGCCGGGCCGCGCGGGGAGCCGCAGTGGTGGCTCGCCTGGGTCGGCCCAGCAGCTCGCATCCCTGGAGGGGGTGGTCCCGCTTCCGCCCGCAGCCCCCCAGCCTCACCGCGAAAACGACGCAGGCGCAGACTACACTTCCCAGAGGGCTCCGTGGCTGGGACGTGGCTCCGGGAGGTGTGGCGGGGGCGCTCTTTACTGCTCCGCCCCTCGCACCTCCAGCTCTTCAGGTTCTGGGATCCGCTTGGAGTCGGCTTCGTTCAGGCAGGCTTGCGGCTGCGCATGCTCAGGTGCAAAGACCCGTTCACCCAAACAACCACCCACCCACTCGTGCCTTCTGAGCGTGTCCTGTGCAGGTGCCAGGTGGGGAATGCGTGGATAAGAAGGGACCTGTTTCTCCCATAGGCCGCAGTCACGCAAACCCGACCCCGAGTGCCTGAGGGGCCAGGGCACAGTGACTCATAGCCACACTGACCTTTGTCATTTTATTTTTTGTGACTGTTTGCTGGTCTCGCCCGCGGATGATGGCAGCCCCAGTAGTCTCTGACAAAGAGTAGGCCTAAGTATATGTGTGATGTATGGACTAAGTGTAAGCCCCACCATCCCTGGGTTCGTTTGCGCTCCTGTCTGAGGTGCACGCGCAGGCCCTAGGATGAGCCCTGGAGTCTCCTTTTCCTTCCTGGAGGAGCTCCTGCCCCTTATGTGGGAAAAACTCAAAGAGGAGAAGGTTGTGAAGCTTCGCCTGCTCTTTGAAACAGGTGCTTGGAACCCCAGCAGAAGCCACCCTGCCCAGTGCTTGTGCCTACCACCCCCTCCCTGGCCCCCGCCGTAACGCCTGCAGCATAGCCCCAATTCTGCGATTTTCCTAGGAAAGCGGATTTCTCTCCTAGTCACCCCAGTGTAGTTCTTCTTTAGCGACACTGGCCTACATGAGCTCCCCTGGCTTTGTATCCTGATACGCCAGAACACTGCCTGTGGCCCTGGAGGGAACAAGTGAGCAGAGACCATTAGCCATTGCTGCTCAGCACAGCGGAGAGAATTTCCTTCTTCATACTGCAGGACAGTGCTGGAACCCGGGAAAGGCAAAGTGCAGTCTCATCTCTAGTAGCATCTCAGGGTAAGTCCTAGGCCAGAAGCCAGGGACCCACGATCCCTAAGGCTTAAAATCCTCTCAAATTAAAACCTTAAAAAAAAAGAAAAGAAAGGCACAATGTCCAGCATGTAAAGTCCTCCTCCTGGCTGGGCTTGGTGCAGCATTTGTAGATTCTGGGCCATCTGTCACCAAGAACAGCTTAGCAACATCAAACTCGCTGAATGGCCAGTTGTTAAATTTATGGAAAAAAAAAAACACCATTATCCCTTTGATGGTTCTTGCCCCTACTCTAGCCCTTGTATCTCTGAGTTAAAAATTTTACTGCAGGTGGCAGGGGTTGTAGTCTGGGGTGTGCTACCATGACTAAATATGATTATGTTCAGAGAGGCAAGAGAAGGCAAAGGTTTGGTATTGTTTAGTTTTTTTTCTTTAAAACTAAAATGACCAAGGTTGCAGAATTATTTTGAATTGAGTCCTTGGCTATAAGGATCAAAAAGGATCAATAAAATGTTATTAGTTCCACTCCGAATAGGCACTCACTAAATCGGCGTCCTTTGTAGAAGTACTTTTTTTCTACAAGGTTGCTGTGGCCTTTGTGTTAGGTGGCCTTGGCAATCTTTTATGACCATTTTTGTTATTAGCAAATATGTTTGAGGAAAGCCCTGTGGCTTTTTTTATCGCCATGGCTTCCTGACTGCATTCTGTCAGCGGTTGACATAAGCGATTCTGTCAGTTTAATGTGAGTGGCTCTAGTTTGATCTCAACAATTACACATGAGCTCTGTATATGGACAAAGGGTGGAGCAGAAATGGTACGCTTTTGAAAAATCTCAGTAATTTAGGTTGGTTGTTCAGGAAATTGATATTCAGGGGCTTAGCTTTCTGCATATTTGGCATTTGGTTACCTGGCCATTCAACGCATTGGATAGACAAAGTCAGCTGTTTTGCTCAAATGAAACAGCTAGCTTCTGCTAGTAGTGAGCTGTACTGTCCATTTCTTCATATGAAAAATGCCTGGGACTTAAAATAGTTTCTGATTTACATTATGGTTTTCTTTTTCATCCATGAGTTAACCTAAAAAGACATTTGAATTTCCCATGATGAGGTTTTTACAGAAGCTGCAAGTTATTTGATTTCACCTTATATTCAGAGACTGTGATGTTGACTGTGATGGGTGTATCCAAACTTTGGACGTTGTGATAAAGTTTAGCACCCAGTCGAGTTACAAAAAATAGCAAGAGAAATTTCATAAGGTTTTAAGTAAGTTTATTATTTTGTGTTGAGTTGTACCCATAGCTATTATGGGTCAGGGATTACACACACCTGCTAGAATTTTCTGAGACATTTTGTGTCAGTAAAGCAAGAAACATTGAAATGATTAATATTTCCTTCAGAAGACTGTTCATATTCTAATATCGGTTGTAATGAGCTAGTTAGAGATTACCAATCATATTGATTGTGTTTCTTATGCCTTTTATATAGTATCATTTATTTGTCTTTTGAATTATTTTAGGTTATTGAGCTGTGATAAAATCTCAAGAATATGCATTTGTCTGTTTTTCACTTTGTGTATTTGGTATTTAGAATTGTAGTATTTTTCAAGAGAATTGTTAATTTTAATTTTCGGAAGTAACGCTATTTCCAACAATATATTTTGTCTATGATCTATTTTTTTCTTTTTTTTCATGTTTAGATGTTTGTATTTTTTCTTAATTTATTTATTTATTAAAGATTTCTGCCTCCTCCCCGCCACCGCCTCCCATTTCCCTCCCCCTCCCCCGATTAAGTCCCCCTCCCTCATCAACCCAAAGAGCAATCAGGGTTCCCTGACCTGTGGGAAGTCCAAGGACCACCCTTATACTGTGCTTGCTAGGTGTGTTGGTTTGAGTGAGAATGACCCTCATGGGCTCATATATTTGAATACTTGATCCCCAGTTGGTGGACCTGTTTAGGAAGTATTAAAAGCTGTGACTTTGTTGGAGGAGATCTGTCACTGAGCATGGTGTCTGAGCCCATATGGGTCCCACACAGACTTCCTAACTTGGCTGGAACGGAGTCGCGAGGAATAATCAGACACAGCTTACACCGTCATCATGGAAAAGGCCAGAATCCTCCTTTATTGTCCAAACATCTTATATACCCACACCAAATGAGCGGGAACACATAAAGGCTGTTGCCTAGGCAACCAGGTGCTTGGGCTCTGGTCACCTCAGCATCTAGCAGTCAGGTAGGCCCTGAATTAGCATCTCTATAAGACAGCCTCCAAATTGCATAAGGAAAGAAGCCCCAAACATCCTGACCAGTTTCAGTCAACACCTCTTCTCAGGTAATCCACACTTTAACAAAAGAAGCTAGGAGCAAGACATCCTGGCTTTTGTTAAGGGCACAGACAGCTTGTCTGAGCTATGTAATCAGCTCAAACCGGGCAATGGCTTTTGTGTAATCTCGAAATATGTGCCCACAGCATGGGTCTTGAGGTTTCAAAGGACTCCCATCCCTAGTGTGTCTCTCTATTTGTACACTGGTGTGAAGGTGCATTGCTGTGATTGGTGTAATAAAAAGCTGAATAGCCAATAGCTAGGCAGGAGGTATAGATGGGATTTCCAGGGAGAAAAAAGAAAAGGAGAAATCTAGGCACAGGGAGACTCCAGGAGATGTGGAGAAGAAACGGGAGGCACAAAACATAAAGGTAATGCCAAATGATAGAACGTAGTTTAACATAAATGGCTTAATTTAAACTATAAGAGCTGGCTAGGAACAAGCCTAAGCTGTAGGCTGAGGTTTCATAATTAATAAGTCTCCGTGTCATTATTTAGGAACTGGCTGAAACAGGTTTGTTACATCTGTCTGCTTCAAAGCTGTGAATCAATGGTGAGTTCTCTTCACTTTGCCGTCATGGACTTTAACCCTTTACAAGGTTAGAGTAGCCAAATTAAATGCTTTCTGTTATAGGTTACCTCGGCCATGCTATTTAATTGCAGCAATAGAAAAGTAACTAAGCCTGGTGGTGGTGGCATGTGCCTTTAATCCCAGCACTCCAGGCAGGCAGATTTCTGTGAGTTCAAGGCCTGCTTGCTCTACAGAGTGAGCTCCAGGACAGCCAGGACTGTTATTATTCTTTTAAAGCGGGTGTGTGTGTGTAGACGAACACAGGACAGACAAGATGCGCGAAAGGAGGAGACACAGACACGCGGCTCCCACGTGGGTGCACTTTAATGGGGGGGGGGGACACGATAAGGGACAGGTGTGCAAGATACACAAGGGTAAAGGGCAAGAGAGAGAGCGAGACCTCGTGGAAGCTCGCCTTTTAATGGGAAGCGCAAGGTTATCTGGGAGAAATGACCCGCACCTGTGCACGCGCTGTATCCGGCAGGTATCCGTAATCCAGGAGGAGTCTGGGAGCTGTAGTTTCCAAAAGGAACAACAACTGTTATACAGAGAAACCCTGTCTCGAAAAACAACAACAACAAAAACAAAACAAAAAGAAAGAAAAGAAGGAAGGAAAGAAAAGTAACTAAGAGATGTAAGAACCTTTTGCTTGGAGCTTTGCTTGTGGGTGGAACAGGTGTGCTCTGTGCCAAAGCAACCCAAGTCCTCCAGAAAAAAAGATACTTCTTTTCCTTGGAGCCTCAAGAAGGAGCTTCAACCTGTTCACACTCTTGATTTTGGTC